TCTGTCTGTCTGTCTGTCTGTCTGTCTGTCTGTCTGTCTGTCTGTCTGTCTGTCTGTCTGTCTGTCTGTCTGTCTGTCTGTCTGTCTGTCTGTCTGTCTGTCTGTCTCTCTGTCTCTCTGTCTATTTTCTGTGTGAAACCATCAGCTAGTTTTGCAAAGAAAACCAAGTTGGCAACTTGACGAAAGCAAAGCCGGCAGCCCCCACCCTCTACACCACTTCTCATTTGCCCTTCAGAAAGTTAGCTTGATTTACAAAGCAATTTGGGACTAGTCTAGTTTGTCTCTCACTCAAATGTGTTTGAATATCCGAGTATAGCTCCTTGGCAAGAAATCTTCGAGTCTTTGCGGATCTTGGTGCCCACCCAGAGCTCAACAATAGCATGTTCGATCTGCCTCGCGCGCAACAAGCAAATCTCCACATCGTCGTAGAATGTAGCCTCAAGAGACAAGAAAGGCTAGATGAAAGCCTCATGGGCCTGTGAGGCCATATGTCTTTTCGCAATTTGCACAGCCCTTGTGTGTGTGTGTGTTGAGGCGCAAAAGCCTTGGGCAGCTGAGCTGAAACTACCGAGACACGGCGCCGGGAACTGATTCCAGAGAGCTCCTGAGAAAGCGAGGCCACTGTACGGGTTCCACTAGCAATTTCTGTCTGATCTCTTGGTGATTAAGCCTACAGTGCATTGATACAAACATAGTCGCATAGTCCCTCATTCACCTCACAAGGTCAACAAAGGAACACTAGACCGACTAGATTCGACTCTCTGCATTGGAACCCTGCGATGTCTCACTTTTTTTGCTGCAATGGTCTGTTTAGCGTCTGCGGCCGGTGAAGTTGCAATCTTTGGCCTGTTAGGCCGCTTGCAAAAGAGCGGCCAAAGATGCACAAGAGAAGAGCATGCAGGAGCGATTCATACTATTTTGGCCGCAGAGAAGGGAAATGGCATGAAACTGGTTGGTTGGTTGGTTGGTTGGTTGGTCGGTCCAATGATTGATTCATTGATTCGAAACCGTAATTTCGCCTAACCATCTGAGATCTCCAATCATCATTCACGCGCAGCATGCTGTTCAAGGATGTCTCAGGGGTACATCTCAAAGCTGTGCCAACACATCCAGCTTCGGTGTGCAAGAAATCATCATAATTGCCGCACCTAAATTTGCAATGAAATTGATTTGGAAAGATTATCAAAGCTGTCAAGGTGCTGAGAAAATATCAGCATTTGGGTCCTCGCTTGAGGTTCGCTGAATCATTGGCAGCTTGAGTGTTTGTGCGGACGGACTAGAGCCGACTGTGTGCGCCCAAAGCATGTCACATCTTGCTGTTGCAAGCTGTTCCGGGTAGAAAGCTTCAAAACAGCCTGCTGGACACTGGGGATCCTGTTAACTCAGATCCAAGTTCCGTCACTTAGCGTTGAGCATACCTCCAAGCGTCTTCACCACCTCTCTTCCCAAAATACCTGGCCATTGAATAAAATGTCTTACAATTCAAACTGAAGAGAAATCTGGAATAGATGCTATCTAAAAGGGCACTTGATAAAGTCATCTTTCGTGTACCACTTGCCGTCTTGGGCACGGCGTTTTTCAGCCTGGCGCTGCGAGGCCGGCAAACTGCGCACAAACAGCACAAGCAGGTTTCTACGAGGAGACCTCTCTTTGAGAAGAAGCAACTGAAAGCAGTAAAAACTCCCAGTAACTCATCGGCGTTCTTAAAATGTCCTTCGACACATTCTACGTCCTTGTACCTAAGACATCTTCCACCACTTTGCACTTGAGGGGACTTGAACCCCGAACCCAAGGCCTTTGACGGGGATTCCAACCACGACTTACAAGTCGCTTCGAGTCGTGAAAAGAGTCTTCCACTTTTGCACACGAGGACAAGGACTTCTTTTACACTCTTCTTGGAATCATTTCGAATCTCTATGCATTCTTGTGAAGGGAGCTGCCTGCCTTCTTGGGCTGAGACCCATTCGACTCAGCCTGTCAAAGACTCAGTTAGGTTGCCAAATTCTCTCATGCAAATCGGCCAATATTGAATGATATTGACCGTAATTACATAAACATGATCAGAGAATATCAAGTCTGAAAGACAAACAACAGGTACAGTAAAATAGACTACAATGACTACAGTACGTAGGTGTGACGAAAACCTTCTGCTCCAAGCAAGCAGGCAGGCAGGCCAGCCATACAGCCAGCAAGCAAGCAAACGGGCAAGTTACTTGTTCGCAACCTCTCAAACTGCTAAGGATTGGAGAATATCAGAGAGCACCCATCATCCAATGCTAAAGAAAGATTCCTTTTTGACAGACTTCCTTCGGGGCGCAACACGGGCATCTGTCAGAAGAGAAGCACGGAACCTTTCATTGGATTCATTGAACTGACCTTGATGATATTGTTTGAATCAACATGAAAGCAAACCAAACGTGGGCATATTCTTTCTGGCTTAATTTAAGCGGGAAGCTTGGGCGTGGGCAGCGGCTGCTTCCGATCGAATTTAATTCAACTCTGTGGCGCCTTCTTCACGGAATCAGGGGTCGGTTTTGCCTGACACATCTCCCACTTCATCTCTCCAAGCTGCTCAAGTCTGCACTTTGCTTGGTTTCGAGCCGTTGTTGATGCAGCTGCTTTTGGAGCGGCCGAGGCAGCCGGCGCTGTTGGGGCCTTCGGCAAATCTGCCTGAGGTGCCAATAGACTTCTCTTTTTGAGCAAAGAGACACGACGTCTCTAGTGTGGATGCTGAGAGTCAGCAGGGCTATGAAACAATATTCAACCGTGAGACAAAGCGGAGCTGTGCCTGCCCAGCTGGTGTTGGCTCGTTTACCTTGGGCATGGCCTCAGCCTGCAGAGTTGCAAAAGTGCTGCTACTATGTGAGCTTTGCTGTGACCTGTGCCAATAAAAACATGTTATTCAAGAGAACAGTTTTTGTTCCACCCTTACATAGTCCAAGCATTGAAATCTGAAAAGAGAGCTTACAAGGTTTTGACGAAAGGTTACTTGAAGCTGCCAGGGCTTTTCAACCATGCCTGGGAAACCACTGCCTTTGCTGGCTCCAGCTTCTGTGTGGCTGCTGCCTGCCAGGCCCCAGAGGAATCTTGTCAAACAAAGCTATGCACAAATGTATGGAGAAAAAAGACCCTGACTGGCTGCTTCTCTTTCTTTTTTAAGCTTGGCTTGTCAACTTTTGGTGTGATGTCTTTTTCCACGCAGCGGATTGATTGGTTTATTTTTGTGTATATACATATAGATATAGTGTATATACTTCCTGTGTCTATTCTGATCTCGTCCCCCAGCACTTGGACCTAGAACCAAATTGGTCATTATAACTACTCGCAGTGCTCAGGCCTGGGGTGCAGGCCTGAAAGCAGTCAAGGGCCACAAAAACATTGGAACAAACATGAACAGAGGTAAACTACACCGGATAAATCGCAACTGTGCAAAGTTCCTTCCTGGGCTGAAGTACGACTCAAAGCAAAAGAGTACAAAGACATTTATACACCTTTCTTGCCTGGTGCTTCCTGAATGAGTGTATTGCTATGAGCACAACGTGAAGTGGCCCACCAGTTTCCATTGACACATGGAAAGACTTTCCGGTGGCATTCTGAACGCGCACCATGCAGCCACGACACTGAGCTGACCCAGCTTGATGCGAATCGCCCTTGCGAAAAAATGGGAAAGGTGTTGCTGCGCGCCGTGAGAACCTCCTTTTTCCTTGATCTTGTTGGTCCATCTGCGTGTGGTTAAACAAGTTTATATTTGTCTTTATATGTATATGTACTAGCTGGGCCGCAGGCATTCTTGGTCAAAGCTTGCTCTTCCTCTTTGCGGTTTTGTCTGACAAAGATTGCTCAGAGAGTAAGTTCTGGGAAAATAGAGTAACATGTCAAAAGAATTACGCAGTTTTCTGCGATTGTCGATTTCTTGTCTGTCTCGATGTGTCTCCTCTTCCTTTTGACCGCGACTGCAGAATGTGGCAATGCCCCGGAGGCAATTCATGACCTCACAGGGTTGTAAAGGCCAAGAGAAGTAAATGTCGCACCTTTGAAAGCGTTAAAAAATAACACACTATGATTTCATGATATAGCAATAGCTATATAGTGTTATATGTTTTACTTTCTAAGGATGAGGCGGGAGTAGGCCGCAGGTATTAAAAAGCTCAAGTAGCTAGAGTAATCTTGAGTCGCTAGGTAGCGGTAGAGGTAAGTAGAGTAGCAAGAGGTGACAGGAAGCTGCAAGGTGCTGGTGACGCAAAAGCATTCAATTGGCTCCTAGCTTTTAGGACATTTTAGCTGAACAAAGTGCAAAGGATCTCACCGTAAGACCGTTTTCGACCCTTAGAAACACGTTTCCAAAATGTTCCAAATATGCCACATAGCCTGATCTCATGCTGCCAAGATGCAACTTGAAACAGTAATGCTTCAGCTGCTAAAGCGAGTGCAGATTCCACGACAACCAGTGTCTTGGATGTTATTCAAGAACATATTATGGTCTCTTATGTCACTGTTTTGCCTACTCAAACATGTGCTTGCAAGGAACGAGCAAAGCGTCGGAGCAGCACGCTGCTAGTCACCACTTGACATTTCACAAAGACTGTCGTGCTGTGCATATGCTGATTGCCAAACAAACATCAACCTGCCTCACTGAAGCACATGCAAACAGCGCGTCCTCCCATGCGCAAATTCTGGTTGGAGCGTAGGTGCCCTCCACCACACCACCATCACAGTAGAGAGGCCTAAAGAATGCTCTTCCGCACAAAAAACAGCGGACGTACACTGATAAGTCGAGTCCCAAAGCATCCCGGTTCAACAATCAAATCTCTGGATTCTGAACAGATTTGATTTGACAGTTCTCGTGACCAGGCTGCGTAAATGTTCTTTTTTGCAGGACTAATTGCTGGCTTTTTTGCCCTGCTTTTGAATCCGCACTTCTGTTGCTTGTGGTCATCTGTACATGTCGGCGTGCTGGGCGCCTTGCGCGAAAAGTGAATTCAGAGGAGGTCTACTGATGTCTACTCATGTCAAATGAGTGCAAATATGTGTATATAGACTTTTGTTGAAAACAGTAGTGCCTTCACAACACTAAAAACAACTGTGCCAAATTTCTATTTCTATTCACTCTTGGTTCTCAGCCTCGAAAACTTTGGGAAACTAAACTCCCGCATCTACTGCGTCTTGTCAGAACTGCCTGGACAGAATGGCTGAGAGATCGATTCAAGACTTCCAAAACAATCCAAACATGTCTCTCCAAGTTTGCTGCATTTTGCTTCCTACTACACTACACTGCTACACCTGCGCTCGCTTCCTGCAGCCAAAGCACTGTAGCCTACTAGTTCCTTTGTGCCAAGTTCACGGACACCTTCCAAGGAAGTCGCCTTCGACAGGAAAAGGACATTCAAGTCTTTAAATTGCAAAAGATCCTTGACCTGAATGGCCTTCCAAACTGTGAGAACTAGAGCTTCATTGGATCATCTATTGTACAAGTGCTCTGATGAGAAAAGAGGTGTTTCAAGCAGAGATGTGCCCTGTACAGGAAGGAAACTCACATGGGTCTAGTCTACATAAGTGTGCCTTCTCTATATCTGTTGTGTTTTGGCCTCAACAGCATCAGCTGCAGCCATCGCTAGCTCCTCCACCCGCACGGGGGGACGGAGGACGCCTTGCTGCCGAGGTCAGGAGAGTACACTTGAATCCCAACTCACAACAAGGAAAGCCAATTAGTCTCCAGATTTGAGGTTTGTTAAACGACAAGGGAAAAACCGGACACAAGAACAAAACAAGCCGATGACACGCACAAGAAAGGACGCTTGGACGATATGTGTCTGTCCAGAGCAAACTGTGCGGGCTTCACTGTTCAACGAGCTCTAATGTTGTTTTGTAGCAGCCATACCTTTACCTCAAACTGTCCCAGAATGCACACTACACTCATGCACGTGTCAGGACGTACTATGTTCATCTATACTAAATACATCTAAAACTTCGCTAGTGTGAAAGTGCAACATAGAAAAACAACTTTGAAATTGAACTTTGGCTGAAGAATCAGGTGACCTTCGAGCTCGTCTGGAGTTTCCAGCTCCTCGCAGTCTCGCAAATAGTTGCGCATTGAGTCAGGGAGCCTACGTTGCGCTTGTTCAGATGAGTGATGTTTGTACCAAGTTTTGTTTCGTGTTCCAATTTCAACCTAGTTGCAAGTGCAGGTCCAATACCACGCTTGCAGAAGTGGTTAGAGAACTTGGAAAATCACTCGCGATCCAAGCTGAGTCAGAACATTGGTGTAATCAACAGGTTGGACCATTTGCAGGTACTGTAGGTCCAGGTAGGCACGCCACAAGTTGCACACACCGCTTCTTTGGAGAAAATAATCTCTTCACTTCTGCAGGGTACTCTGGTGCAGAATGCTGGCACAGAATGCACGGATGGCAAGGCCAAAAAAACGTTGTGTTGGGCATTGTTTTTTGAAGATGGTGGGGGTTCAAGCAGTCGGTACTCAGAGTTAACAAGTTCCACCTCGCTTCGTGTTGGCCCTACTTATTTACATTTGCTTGTCCGGAAGGCGACATTGCGTGTTTCAGTGGGCCTGAAGTTCAGTTAAGATTTGATGCTGAGCTGGGCCAACTCATAGTTCTTGGGCCTTTGAACTGCTCGAGGGAGTTTCGGAACACCATGGGATATCCAACCAATTACGCCAGCATAGACCCCAGATAGCAAAACATAATTGTGGGCAGCAGTAGCACCCTGCAACGGCACCAATGCCCAAGCTCCAAGCGCACACGGCCATGGACAGCCTGCAGCAGCACCCTGGAGCAGCACTTGCAGCTGCACCTGCGCTCAGGCTCCAAAACGCACACAAGAAAATCCACCAGAAGCAAAACAAATAAATAAATATATATATATATAATATAACCATAGAACTTGAAACGAAAGCCCAAAACCAAACGCACCAAAAAATTGTAATTTCCCTCACTGCGTCTTTGTGTTGGTCTCATGTGTCCATGTGTCCTGTCGTGGAATGTATCCCTTGCCTGTCGTGAAAATAGCCTACAAATAGGCGGCATATTCGAATTCCAGTGGAGATACGTGGCCATTTGCCGTACCTTTTCCTGCCTGCACACGACTGCAGCTTCTAGCAGAGGGTGCAACGGTATGTCATACAAAGATGCTCGCATTGATCCAGGACCCAAGCAGGAATCATCGACTGCTTAATTAATGCAGTGACAACACACGATCACACGCATTAATTTCTAGAGAGGGTGCCCCTCTTGCACATGTTGAAAGAGACACAGAGCAAGAGCCTCACATTTGTTTCACGAGGGTTAGAGAAGGGTCCTGAAACATCCTGAAACTAACCAGTCGGATACTGAACTTGAGATTCTGAAACTCTGAAGCTCTGAAACTGGCAGTCTAAGACTGAGGTTCTGAAACTGGAAAGTCAGGACCCAAGATTGCTGTGGAATCAAGACAGTTGTAGAATCACAAAACAGTTGTGGAGTCCTGAGACTGCTCCGGCTAACCCTTTGCTGCTGGCGAAATCGCCATCGCTGCGCTACTACAGGCAACGCGCGCAAGAGAGTTTCCTCTCAGACGAGCCTGCGTGAACGCGGCGTGCCGTGTTGCATCGAGGTAGATCCTGGAGCCGGTCAAACGCCGGCCGTCAATGCCTGAACCTTTCGCGTTGGCAATGAGTAGCCGGGTAGCCTTGGTTTTCTGCGGAACTGGCCCCTGTTTTCTGCTACGGTTTTAGTGCGCCCTTATGGTATCTGCCGAGTTGGCCCCGCAAGACTTGATGACAGACATACCTAAGAATTTGCAAGCCAAAGAGCAGTGGCAGGAACAAGCGGCGTCCATGCAGTACGCCACCATTTCTCAAAAAACGGTTCCTCTCTGAGCATTCCACAAAGCTCTAGCGGTCTACAACGAATCTAGTGACAGTGAATCCCACTTTGACGCTGCGCGCTGCTGAAGGCTCTCATCTGAAAGGGCAACAGCAGCCTAAGGGATTTGATGTTGTCCCTATGTTTGAGTGCGGGAGTCGCGTCTTCCAAAGAAGATCCTGGATAGCCCATCCTTTTTGATGCGCTGCAACGCGGCCTTTGCCCCGAGGAGAGCCAGGGGTGAGTCGACGCCAGCCCTGCACTCCAAAGGCTCGAAAGATTGTGCCCCAGCGCCGCCGGAAATTGCTAGGGCTGCTGGGATATGTTAGCCAAAAGGCTACCAAACTTTCAGGCAGGGAGTCCGCAACAACATGATTCCGCAAATGGGCATGCCAAAACAACCTGGCAATTCCTGCGCGCGTAAAAACTGTTGGGTTTCAGCTTCACCGCGCGCTCTTCAGCTACCAAGCAATGCAGGCAACCTCAAAAGGCCACGCTCTTTTAGATGTTGCTGTTGATATTGCTTTTTCAGACGGTGGGAAGCAGAGTCGCAAGCTTTTCGAGTCGGAGAGTGCCATTTTTCGTCGTGTGAATATTCAGTGTCGAATGAACAGTCGTGCATGGGCTGACTTCTTGTGAACAAACTGCCCCCACAATGGACGCACGTCGCGTTCTTTTTCTGGCAGTTCAGAACCGTCAGCAGTCATGCCCTTCTCCTGAATTAGAAAGAATGCTGCGGGAGACAGCAGGCAGGAAGTGCACAACGCCACTGCCACTGGAAGCCTCAGACGCAATCACAGACGGAGACGGAGAGGGCTCCAGTCTGAAATCAATCACCCAACAGAAGTGCAGGAGACACACGCGCAACATTACAACGTCGCCTAGACCTCTGGGCTGCGCGAAGCTCTTGCAAAGCTGGCATGAAACGTCGGTTCATTTGAGAAGCCGAAAGCAAAGATAACAAGAACCAGGTAGAACGCCTGCGCTAGTGGTACGGATATTGATGACTCGAAGCAAAATGCACGCTGTCAAAAAGGCGTTTCAATCATGCTCGCGCACGGCCTGCTCCGTCACAGTTGAGCTGCTCGCTGAAAATTTAACATCTCTATTTTTTGTTGCGGACCTTTGATGGGAGTCTAGTCCACAAGATCATGCTTGTTCCAAGAACCAACCAGCGGCGCAAGTCTGCGCACTATATCGCACTGCGGCCCATTCAGCTTTGTTCTTAGACCGTAATAGCATTGAAGCGTTCCCCCACAGCCAACCAATCCAGAATTTGAATGAACACTAGAAAATTGATTCCTAACTTTCTGCTGCAGTGGCATTGTTTGTGATTGGACTGCCGCACATACGCACACATGTCAGGGAACTGGGGCCGGGGGCCAAAATGCTTTGTCAGGGCTGCGTGCAAGCGCGGGATTTGAGCTTGGAATGAAAAGGGTGAACTCAGTCCACCGCAAGCCCGGGCAACACCCCAAAACCAAAGGTTCCACGCATCTGCGTTGCACTGTCAGCGCAATGCTTGCAGGCGTATTCAGTTGTCATGACCCTTGCGCTCCTCCCTGCTCACTTTGGCTTTTGCTGTCACTTTGACCCTTCGGCTCAGAAGCGCTTTTGCGAGCTGGTTCAACCTCTTCTTGGACTCAGGGAAGCTGTCGCGGTTCTTGACCCTCCACAAAAGCAGTTCGATCACAATCGATCATCAGCTGGTCCAGTAGCGATCTGCTCTGACTGGTCAGGCATCCTCCGGTTTGCAGGGTGGGGGCAACTCCAACAAAAACTTTTAGGAGAGCGAGCGCAAGAGCACACCGCACCCGAGCCTGCCTAGGATCCTTTGCCTACCAAGCGATGGTGGCTGGGAAATT